TTCTCTGCTTCCTGCTGTGACGTTATAGCTGCAAACCTCTTAATCTAATCTTGGAACCGAATTTTCTGTCTCCTAGTCACGGACAAGGGCCGAGCACGTATCTTATAGGCAGATAACCCCTGGCCATTGAGAGTAACTGTATTCCAAGCGAAGGCAAACACTACATGTAAGTGAGCGCAAATAACGTTTTCGCTTGTCCGCGAGAACCACCGCCACGACGGCCCCTTTGTTTTACGCTGCAGTGTAGAAAGAATAATAAAAATTCACCGATCAGTATGATACTGCCTCATGCGAATACTGAGCGCAGCTTCCTGTTGGAGCAAGGCCAACTGGGCTTCAAGTTTTGGCTTTTCCCAAATAATTTTAGATGCGAAGCTTCTTAGGGTCGAGCTCGATCCGGTGTGCGGCGTGACCACCTTTACTGTGCATGCGCGTCCTCTCCCTCCTCTCTCTCCTTTCCTACGCTCCCTCCTATATCTCTTTGCATCGCCCATGCAGGCAGCGTCTGCTAGCTAACGCTCGTTCCTCATCTCCTCTAGGCATCCCTCTTCACTGTCATCACACGCCCAATGCACATGCGCACCCACTCCCTCTCCTTTCCTACGCCCCCCACCCCTCTCTCACCTCGCAACGCCGACGCAGGTAGCGTCTGCTGTCTAGATTTTTTTTATTGAAAAAAAAATTAGCGTTTGCACTGCACAACCGTTCGCTGGCCACCACGTGTATATAGACACTGGATCTTGACCTCCATGATTGTGCCGGAGGGAGATTTCTCCTGTGCGTTGTTGAACAATGAAAATTCGCAGCGTGCACATTGTCTAAGTGCGGACTGTGACTCTGTGTCCAATCCACGTCTTCCGTCTCTCATTGCCCATTAGCAGCGATTGGCATGTTCCAGTGGGAAAGACTGGTCCATCACTGCGTGCTTTGCGCCTCACCATGCAGGTTTCTCTCCTGCGCAACGCAGCGATTAACGTCAGTGTTAACGCCGCTGCCAGTGTAATCATTAGCACCCGCTGCTTCGCATCTCCACATGGTTTCCATTAGCGGGAGATGGTGTAATATTTCGTGAAGTAGGACAGCAGCTAATGCGCTATTATTCGTCTTTCTATATACCTTTTACAGATGGGTTTCACTGCCGCCATATCGAGCCCTTAACCTTTATGTTTCGCATCTTTAACGACTAAACGAACAGTGTTACGGTAGACGCATACGCATGAAAATGGTTGGGTTGGTGCATACGACGCTTCATGGCCTGATTAATTCACGTCACAATATACAAAAGAAAGAAAACATTGGTTTAACACCCCAATATGGCATGCCCACATTTCTCAAGTAAAATAGTCTGTAGATAAGCGAGGTACCCGCTACACGTCTGTAAGGTGTCATGTGCACTTTATTGATGCGGAATCTGACTGATGACGATAAGTAATTACGGCTGAGCACTTTGCAGTGGGTGGAAAGCATTAACCTACACAATCGTTGCTCAATGAGCGTTGTGTGATGAGTGGTTGTAATCTTGCCTCTCTGCCTATTGCGTGGGTTAACGTGTTTCTCTACTCGGCATGAGGCCTGTATAGGGTCTTCTTGCAAATTAGTTTCAAGCGTGTGTGTCTGGTAGCATATTCTACTGCCACGCAGGGGACCCAGGTTGAAATGTCATTTAATCTGTGTAAATTTTGTCGTTTGATTTTTGCATATCTGTAGGTAACATCCCCGACGGCAACGGGAACGCCACTCAGGTGTACGTTAAATTGTCCCAGGCAGTCAAGATTTCCGGTGCCCGCCACAAAGGCGTCGCTCATAATCATACGGTTGTTTTTGGAAGTTAAACCCCAGATATTAATATTATAGCCTTTCGCTGAATTTTTGCAAGTGTGGTGATATTAACGTTACGGGTCCCATACACATAATACAAGCGTACTCAAGCTTAGGCTGGAACAAGTGTTCATAAGCCAGACGCCTAACATGTGGTGGGTAATCGATAAGTATGTGAAGTAACAAACAATGCTTGCGAAGATCAGTAGAGCATGTGTTGGTAATATGGGTGTTCCAACTTAAATTACTTTTTATAGTGACACCTAGACACTTAAATTCACAGACCTCAGTTAAAAATTTATAGCCTATCGAACAAGAAATTTTAGGGGACCGAAGCCTTTGGTGACGCGAAGAACTATTATTTCCTCGAAATGCAGTTCCATACCCTAGTCGTTCCACGGGGTAAAAATATTGTCGAAGGTTATGCTACAGGAGCAAGTGGCTCGTCGGCACAGGTGCAAAAATACTTGCTTTGGTCATAGTTCCAAGAGCTATGATTTATACAATATCGATCCTCTTGCAGAGCTTAGAATTTTTTTTACCTTTAGACGAGTATCGAGAGTCTTATTCATCTATTGTGGCTATGCACTACCCACCCAAAATACTTTTCTACATAGAACTACAGATGTACTGGGATTTCGGAGTCCTATTGTACGTAGGTTCGTGGAAGAATAATGCTTGTACAATACTCACGGATTGAAAAAGGAAAATTTAGGGCTATGTAACGCCCACACTTTTGTTTCTGCTATATCAGTTGCGGTCATATCAGCGTAATTTCAGCTCGAACGCATACATAAATGCTCACATTATCTTCAGAGACCAGATTCGTCGCAACATGACGCAGTTTCTCGTGGAATTATACTAAAAAATAAATTCCAGTCGTTATACTTGATAACTTTGATGTGGCGTTTGTGTCCGTGAGTACTGTACGTTTCACGTAACAAGGACCAAGGATTAAAAGTGAACTCAAGAATCGGAGATTAAAAAATAAAAGCATGGCAAACTGCAGCAGAATGAAATCAGTAACATTTGGTTAGCCATAATGTAGAGCTCCTTGGGGTATTCCCTATCCTGCGGTATGTTAATGAACTAAGATCAATTATGCAAATTTTTAATTTTCAGTTAAGCATCACGTGCGTCTCATCACGTTATAGAGGGCATTCTAAAACGACCTATTCATTTTTCACCACGCAGAATGTACGCAGCATTCATCCTGCGTGGTGATTATTTTTTCCGCTGTTTCAAAAAAGCCGTCGAAATGTGGACTAAAATTACGCATATTTGCGTGCGCTCATGAACAACTGTACAAAATGCAGCTCCATCAACCGTGTTTCGAGCTAAAAAGCCATGCGCGCGCATTTTCATAGTATGCACTTGCAGGGTACCAACAAATTATGTACTCGTAAAAAAAAAAAAAGGACTAACTTGACACTAAGAGAAAGCACATGCATCAAGTAAAACTTCGATTCAATCTTTCAACCTTTATAAGGCCGTGACCATCACAGCAGTACGCGACAAATTAAAGCTTTTTTTCTTCATCTCATTGAGAGAAAAAGAATAAAATGAAGGTTAGCTAGGCTAGGCATTAGACTTTTTGTTACACCGCGGTGAAGACTCAGCCCTGCAACGGGGAAGTGGGAGCGAAAGTAAGAGAGAAAGAGATTAATCATTGTGGCGCACGCGTGTACAACCCTGTCTCGTGAAAATCATTTCAGTTGATCCTATTGAGCCTATACTATTAATGCATTGATCATGCAACTTTAGTCACTCGTGGTTCGGTGTTGCACTTTCGCAACGCGCACATCTGAAAGGATATAAACAAAAATCTACAAGTATCAACTAAGCACAATGCCTTTAGCATACCTTTATAAGCGTCCAAAATACACCAACCCACAGTGATCACTTACCAACGCACATGTTTTCAATACTGGTCGGTTTTCACCTTCATGCGTGCACCCAAATCTGAGCACCCGGTCCTGTAACATTTCCGCCTCCATCGGAAATGCAGCCGCCGCAGCTGGGATTCGATGCCGCGACATGCGGGTCGCACCACCCTTGAAAATTCCGCGTGTATATATATATATATATATATATATATATATATATATATATATATATATATATATATATATATATATATATATATATATATATATATATATATATATATATATATATATATAAAGATCTAACAAACAATAATGCCCAGGAATGTATAGGGGAAGTTATTACAACCAATGTAATGTAAATAAGATGAAAGAAAAGTGGGTGATCTAGCAGACAAGGAAAGTATAGGGGAGGTTATTAGACCGGATTTTAAGGTAATTGTGAAAAAAGAAAAGTGGATGAAAAGGCAATTTGCCGTGGGCAGACACCGAATCTGCGACCACCGAATAACGCGTTCGCTACCACGGCGGCCATCCTCCCAGCCACTTTATTGAGTATATATATATATGTGAATTTCAACGTGGGAGTGTCAGTCAGCGCCATCTGTAGCTATGGCGTCGAGTGTGGCAGACTCTTTCATGAGCTTGTATGGCGTCACGTAGTACGTTAACTTATCACGAGCTGGCAGCTCACCAATAGTCCCTCGTATACAACCCAAGGCACCAAGTCTGCCAGTACGAGACCCTCGTTAATGAATAAGGGAAAGAAGTGTATACTTAAGGGCTCGTTTTTCCATGTTTTGACACGATAATAATGAAATCTAACAGACAATAATGCCAAGAAAAGTATAGGGACGATATTAGACCGAATTGTAAGGCAATTGTGAGGAAAGAAAAGTGGGTGAAAAGATAACTTGCCGTGGGCAGGAACCGAACCTGCGATCTTCGAATAACGCGTTCGATGCTCTACAGCTGAGCTATCACAGCGGCTATCCTCCCAGCCACTTTACTATATGTATATATATATATATATATATATATATATATATATATATATATATATATATATATATATATATATATATATATATATATATATATATATATATATATATATATATATATATATATATATATATATATATATATATATATATATATATATATATATATGGCTTATTTGCAGAAGAGTAACTTCAGTTGCCGCAAGGTTATAAGCGCTTATATATTGTTATGTGACAGCGCACCAAGTTTCATACTTATAAATATATTATTTATTTATATATATCTACGCAGGCGTTCTTCGATGGATGGCGCGAGCGGGTCCAACTGGACGGCCGTCCAGGAAGCCAGTGACCCATTGCCGTCGGACGCGGTGACGGCGTCGGACGGCTTTTCGAGCAGCTCGACGCCGTCGCCGTACCTGTACCACGCCGGTCGTGCGCTCTACACCACGTCCACGCTGACGCCCGAAGCGGCCCGGTCTCAGTACTACGCCGCCTACGACCCCATGACGGGACTTCGCATTGCGGCAACCCTGGGCGCCATCATCACGCTCTTCACGTTGTTCCTCATCTACAAGAGCAAGTGCCGGCCCGCCAAGCCCACACAGCCCCAGGAGGGCGTCTAGCGAATGGGGGCTGCCCATGAGCTCCTCATTCCGACCCCACATGCACGCAGAGGCACAGTCGTAACGTACCGGGTCCCTACAGTGTTCCCTGCGCTTATGAACCACGTATGGCGAGAGCTAACTTCCGTAAGCCTAATAGGCCCCGTCGTACGTCTCGAGCGGTATGCTGCACCTTGGTCACACGAGAACAGTCTGGAGACACATGGTGAATCCAGAGTTTAGCTAAAGCATGCTGCAGATTTATACGTAATTTGGGTGCCTCAGTTTTTTTTTACATTGCTTAAAAGTTTTCCTGAGCATTTAACGAGGCTTCTTTTTATGGCAGGTATTACATCAATAAAGAGGACGCTCTGCTCACTAAACTCATAAGCACGCTCATGCGCCGACCGTTTTCCGGCGGTAATAATTCGCCATGTTCGGTTGTGCTGTCCTGAGTTTGCGAAGTACTGTACGTACGCGAAATATCTGAGGTCTTCCTTCTATTGGCGAAGATAGCATCTCACTGATTCTTGTTATGGCTGCATATTGTTTGTGCATTTATTTCAGCAAAGAAAACGAAAGTTCCCCTTTCTTTGTTTGCGTTCAAGAAACATTCACTTGTGTGTAGCTATTCGAAATGCGAATTGCTGCTACAGCTATAGAGATGTCCTGTTCACACTTGCACAAGCCAATTTTTTTTACTCGTGCACTCAGAGTCAGGCAGCACATTTCAATGATAAATGTTCGGTGACAAGAATGAGTTTACAGTTTGCGTCAAAAAGGTTTCTTGTTTCGGCGTCACAGGAAAAATTGAATAGACTCGTTTCAGCCCTACGCCAAGTGCCGGGGCTTTTAGGGAAGTAATCACTTCGAGGCGTTTCCTATAGTTTCACATATACGCCTAGTCCAATAAGGTTTTGAAATACGAAAGCTACGTGGTGAGTTAAAATACTTTGGCAGCCTGCGCATGTAGCCAAGTTCTGCGGTAGGTGCCCTGCGTTGTAATGAGGAGCAAGCTTAGTGAAGGACTTGCCGTGCGGTTGCATGCCTAATTAAAAGGGTGAATGCTTAAGCTCCTACACGCTTCGTTTGCGCATTCTAAGCGCCCTTATCGTGGAGAGCTGTGTCCCTTTGTACTACGAGTGTTAAGCTCAATGCGTCATGGCAGCTGGTCTATGCTAATTAGGACGTGAGAGTGTACGGTACGGCTCACATGCATATTTGTCATAGCCCACATATACGATGCTCAGTACACTGCTTATTTGCTCCATGTTTTTTTTTTTATCCGCATGACAGTTATAGTTGAAGTACCGAACTTGGGTAAAAAGCTCGATTGAATTCATCTAAGAAAATTTCCAGTGGTGCGAATAATTGATGTGCCTATTCTCTACAACTTAGATCTTTGTCCGCCATTTTCAAAGGGACATTTTTCTCAGTAGCTTGTCCAGCTATACCTGGTCATTTCATCCCACAATTGTGTACGGCCGACAGAAACTCACTCGCTCATTACTGCTAAGAACAAAATAACAAGACCTCCTTGTACACGAAAATGAGGCGTGCAAACAGACGCGATAAAATATAATCCGTATGCAAACCCAGGCGTTTGCGTTGTCTTCCTATTTTGTGTTCGTGTTAGCACAGCTAAATTTAATAATAGAGTGAACCTCCGTCAACATGCTAAAAAAAGAAACAGTGCTTTCACTCTTTTTTTCTTTTGAAAGTTATGGCTTGCCACGTATATTCCTCTCTCTAAAGGGGCACGTGAACTCTCAAAGGGGATCATTATGCGCTTTTCCGCAGATTCATCTGACCCACAAAAGAGCGTGTCTCGCTAAAGAGATAATTTAAGTATGAGGGTGTAACTTGAACAGGGATACTTGCTTGGGCCCGTTGGTATCTCTTTTAAGCGGTGCGCAATTACGTAAGAGGGATTAAAAAGGAACAAGGGAAAGCGCACCTTGCCAAGGCCTGCATTGCCTTGCAGTTGATAGTTAGCTCCTATGGAATGCGCCTACGTTCCTGTTAAAACTACGTGCTAGTACTTCAATTATCATGAATTACCAACTCACACAATCTGACATATTTCACTGTAGTAAGGGTTGCAGCGCAAGCAATAAAGTGCTATGAGCGGAAGGCACATATGACAACACGAGCGCTGTGCCTTCCGTTTCTCGCCTTCCGTTCATTTATATATATATATATATATATATATATATATATATATATATATATATATATATATATATATATATATATATATATATATATATATATATATATATATATATCACTTGTTTGCAAACCCTGACGAAGACTGGTCGAAACCGTTGGTAATAAAATTAAGACAGCCACTAAGTTGTGTTTCTTCTCTTCCCATATATATATATATATATATATATATATATATATATATATATATAATATATATATATATATATATATATATATATATATATATATGGGAAGAGAAGAAACACAACTTAGTGGTTGTCTTAAGATATATATACATGGCCAGCCACAACTCTATAAGAATAATGACACATTTTGTTTTTTGTTTTTTAAGAGCCTAACTAAATTTTCCGTCGTTCTGAACAAGGTCCTTTTCTCTTTCGTTGTGCTATTCGAAATGTTAAGACCAAAACTATGCATATCGGGCGTTTTTTCCTGCCACTCAACACCACTCGCCATCTATATCGAGTGCTTTTCTCGCGCTGTCGCGACTGGCGTGCGTGTCCGTCAGCGAAAATTGAGAAACGCACATTTCTCGAGAAAGTAAGTGCGACCGAGCTAGACATCAATTATTGTTGTGGGGCAGAAACATTCCCTCCCGTTCGCCCTTGAGTGCATGTGCTTTCCTGAAACAACGGGTATATATGGCTGAAATAACGTAAACGCTGTCGATAAATTCATCAACAATTCCTTCTGCTTTGCGCTGGACGACCACCTCAGCTATAGCACGTCCAGCATCAGGACGGCTGGAATGAACTCTTATGAACAACTTTAGCTCAGGTGGACCGGGGTCGAGAACTCTCTCGTACCTCAGATCAGTGCTAAACGTCTTTCAAGGCGTGTCCTTTATACTTAAGGTGCTTGCTGTTGTTTGGCACATTGTTTCGTTATTAACAATAATTAGGTGTGTGTGTTTTTTTTTTTATTGCTGGGAATTATATTATTTGGCACCGTAATCATTCGGCAGCTTCACGCTTCTTCACCCGAAATTTTCTCACAGTCAACTAAGTGCAGTCCCACCACAGCCCATCTTACGTGCAGAACTGGTATCCTTCCTTGTAAAATGCTATCGAACGACCATGGGAGAAATCGTAATTATCTGGTCGTAGTCGAAAACTTTAAACGAAAACTTAAAACACGAAAACTTTAAACAAATTGTTTGAAACGAAAAACCAAAATGCATGGTTGCCGAATCGACTGCAATCAACTACGGTTTATCAAATAACTTTCTAAATCATTACTTTCCGGCACATATATCAAAGAATGGTTGATGGCAACTTGCAAGGCACATGAAGTCGAAATATAAGGTTAGAGTGCACGGGGGCAGGTTTTTGATATATGTTGTAGTGGTCAGAATAATGCAGTCTTGTTATATATATATCTTGAAGGACCTGCCATTTTTCTGTTTTAAAACACATAAGTAACAAGGACGCCCATGTGATTGATCGCACACTTTTGGGAATCGGTGTCTCGACTCTGTGACTTCGCTCCGAATAGATGCGCCTCGCAGTCTCATCACAGCGATTCGCCAATCGAAAAATGCACCGAAAACTAATTAATAAAAACATTTCTTATTGAAACGTCCTAAACGCAAAGCGTTATTGAATCTCAAGCGCAAGTGATGCGCAGAGTACGAGGTAAATATGTCCAAATACAACAAGTACGCTGTCTATCTATTTAGCATATTGTCAAACAAAAGTTCACCTTGCATAGTAGGGCAAATCAAAGAAATATGCACGGTATTCACAAACATAGGCATTTCACTTTCCTTAGGATTCACTTGAGCGCGCGCGCACAGGTGCTCATGAGTGGGGTTGCCGTTATTGGCTACTTTGAGCCAAATTGGCTACTTTTCGACCCCTGCGACGAAAATTTCCAGTTGGCGCCATGACTATTTACTGGTTACATTTAAGTTTCTAGTTTTACTCATTGAAATGTTTTATTTCCACTACTATTCTATGTGGCTAAAAATTTGGGGATAATAATAAATGACATTAATACGTTGGTTACATTTGGCTTGAGTCCTGGTGTCTCTTCAATTTCATCCAACGGCAACCCTCCTCATGAGAGCAAGACCATAATAAAGGATATATTTCTCACTTGCTGAACTCGATGTGGCAGCGACAATTCATTGTCTCTAGTTGACGCACGTAAATACAGAAAAGGTGAAACAGGGGGCATTCTTCACGTACATTGTTTATGTTCTTTTTCCTGCTAGATGGTGGCAAGAGTGGCAATAATTTGAAACGACGAGGCAGACATGCGGTACCTCAGCTGCCTTTGAAAGTTGTAGCCGTTGAACTTGTCGAATACGTCATATAAGATGAAAAACCACAGATATTTTGCCAACGAGGTTGCCCGTACTGGCAGGACTAAAAATACAATTGCGTGTCTTTACCGGATATTATTTGGTGCAGACGCGTCTCTACAATTCCCATACGACATCTGTCGATGACTGATGCTGTCGCGTGCGCAACACGGGTATAAAGATACATAAGGTATTGCTTTTGCAACATACAATAGTGTACATCCATCGCACAAAGATCCATGTGCTCGAATTTTTAAGGCAAGTTCAGCTGTGTGCGAATCAACCAACCACAACATCGATTCAAGAACGCGCGTCGAGGGACCCGGTGCGAGAAGACGTGCCCTCAGCCGCAGCCTTTTCTCCTGCGCCTCGTGAAGAAACACTCGTGTGTGTGTGTGTGCTCCTCTTCGACTTTGTGTGATCAGTGTGCCGTGTGTTCCAACTCGCACCCCTTGCGACCAACGCATGTGTGACCGCAATACACGAGTGCTCATCGGGACAAATTGTTGTGCTATTGTGCATCCACAACGCGGATGGCGACACTGGCAAGCCGCGTCTGCTCGAAGCTGCATCCAACTATTGGCTTACACAAATGTCCCTGCAGTCTACGGCGATCGTTTGTGTCTCTGGTTTTACATTGGTGGCCGTTAAACAATTACAGTATACACACCCATATGCTTGTCACTGATGATGAAAAAGGCGAAAGCTTTATATTGCTCATTACTTTTTAAAAAAAATCGAGCAACGCGAACACCATGGATAATAAAAGTCAGGTGGGCCGACCTCAAAGGTAGTGTAAAGGAATCCAAATGTGTATAATAAGAATATGGGTAGCGATAATTAGTACATAAGGTGAACTAGATGTGAACTAAGGTGATTTATAGAGAATAGAAG